TGTGGGTTGCGGCTCTTGGGTGTCGGCGAATACGTAACAAGGCAATTAGAAAGCGAGTTTTCGGTTGTGCAGCGGGTACTTCCATTGAAGAATGTGTCCAGAACCATAACCTGCGTTGATGAGGCCATGTATTGTGTATGCCGAACCATCGTTTGCCGAAGAGAACGCCGTTTTCCATGCCAAACTCGGAGTGGCGGAAGCAGAGAGGTGGCCAACCCTTGACCTGGCAGAGGAGTATGAAAATGATTACGACCGACTTCCTCGAAGGGATCTTTTGGTACTGCCATGATTTTTGTGTGCTTATTATAATATTTATACTTGTATTGAGCGTTTGTATGTACACTTCAGCTCATCAACGCTTGTTCTTAGACAAGTAAAACGTTGCTTATCCTCGAAAACCCGGACGCTATTCTAAATCGTTCTCGTACACATTCTAAACGTCCCAGGCACAACCACATGAAGGGTGGAAACGAGGCAGGGGGTCAAACGATGACTTGATAGCGAAGTATGAAATCAATTAAAAGCTAACTTAGTTGCGTAGATCATTGCCGTCTCCTTGAATGGGGACCTCGAAGTGGGACACATTGTCAGACACGGCTCAGTGGTGTCCTCAGTGGTGCTCGTGCAGCCTAGCTAGTCTTCGATGCTTAGCTGCCCTCTCAATATCCTCAATTAAGAGTCCACTGGAAACCCTGTATTTACGCATCAATTATATCATGCGCGCGGCTATAACCACTGTAGGGCAAGTACGCGGCAACTGTCTGAAGTCCTCTAAAAGTTTTACGACAAAAATTGATGCCCGACAAGAATATCCCCTCTTCCCGTTCTTTTTCGATTTCGTCGTCGATGGAATAATGAAACGAAATTTGGGCTCCATCCAAAAGTCGGGTGTTCAAATCGTTGCTGGTGAGAAACTTGCAGACCTGGAGTACGCAGACCACATTGTCATCATCTTGGAGGACGAAGGCCGAGCACTCACCCTGTTGAATAAGCTGATCAAGCTAATGTCATCTTACAGCATGCGTCTTGCACCAGCCATGCTTTAGAATGTACACCCTCTGAACGTGCCCCTTACAATTCAAGAAGCATTAGATGTTGTGGAGGATTTTACATATCCCGGTAGGTGTATTAGGTCTGACGGAAGGAAGTGCATCTGATGAAATTAGTGCATGCAGCTTAGAGGCTCGGATGGCGTTCGCCAATTTCCGTCACATGGGCGGTTAAAAAGGCATATTACAGGTCACGTGCACCAGGCTATGGTAAGGGGTGTATTGATATTTGGTTGCGAGGCACGGCCTCAGCGGAGAGATGATCTGAGGTGCCTTGAGACTAAATAGAAAACTGGTGTTCAGGTGTTCGCGCAGGTACTTCAGTTGTACCTGGCAGCACCAACTGTGGTGGCTCGACACCGTGTGACATATCGCCCACCGCAGCGAGTTGTGCTCTCCGGGCCTTTCTCGGAATGGTGGAAACAACGAGGTAAACACATAACTTGGCAAAACGGTATGAGATTACGGGGAACTTAGGTGTTGTTGGCGATGTCCGCCTCCCGGGATAAAAAATCCTCGTAACCCACTTAACAGTCCACTGACAGTGATGTATTTACGCACCAATTTATTACCTCCCGCCTCCAGTACACAGCTACCCACCCCACCTCCCCAAATCGTTGGTGAACGGAACTGTGGCAGCTGCAACCACTGTAAGACAAGTACGCGGTTCCCATAGATGGTAATGGCGATGATGGCTGCAAGGAAAGGCGGCTACTTGACGTCAGTAGCGTTCGTGCTATCAGTTTTTCTCCAAAAAGTCTGATTGATCTCATAGGAATGTGGGCACGTTTACATGCTTGCGATAGGCCAACTCCAGGCCCCCTATTTCATTCAATCTTTTTCGGCTCCCTTTAAGGCTTGAAGAATAGTTACATGAATATTTTGGTTGTATGGCAGTGAAGCACCATTGTTGAAACTAGTGTTACTGTTCCTTTTGGTAATGACGATTTTTCGAAGCCCGAGTAGCAGGAACTTTAGTCATGTGCAACGCAGTCAATGTAGGCAATCGAGCGGCAATTTTATCCAATAGAGGAGCGAAATGATACAATTGATAGTTAGAAGGAAGACAGACATTCCCCTATATCTGTCCGTTCACTGCACCCGTCTCTTTCACTGATGTAGAATAGTATCTGAATGAAAATTACTTGAGGTAAGTTTGTGAGCCACTTTTGTCCTGTTTCATTCTTGACCATGAAATCATGAATGCAATGGAAAACTGGTGTACAGTCGAAAATATCCAGCTCAAGGGTGGCTATCGCGATACGTCGTACTTACAAATGCATGTATAGTGAGTTCGGAAGCACACACCACTGATCTGATATGCACGAAGTCCCTTCTAAACTTTCTCAAACCTGTTTACCTAAGAGAGACCTGGAAATCTGACAAACTACCGCTGAATGTGGGTGAGAACTTTGGGCTATGGGTTGAAGACATGGCCCATCAACGAAAGAACCATGCGCATCACTGGTGAGGTAACTGCATGTTTTAACTCGTGCGGCTCGCGATATGCCATATAATAGTCTCTGGTTTGCATCCCACAAATGCCGGATAGAACTCTGTGGCTGATTTACAAGTATACATGAGTAAAAAACACAGACATTAACTCACATTTAACTGGCAGCAATAAAACGTATTATGCTATAGACCATACATTTCACTAACCCGTGAAAACTTCAAAATCGTCATCATGCTCTCAGCGGTGGGTGGAGAGCGAACTCCTCAGAATACCAAACAGAAGGCCGGCTTCTGATTGGTCGAGAATACATGTTGGTGAAAAATCAACCAATAGTATGTTGAACCTGACAAGCCACCATCAGCTGCGCGTTGATTGGTGAATTGCATCCAGTCAGTCAGTCAGAAATTAGACCGATGAGATGATGGATGCTAAATTGAAAGGTTCCGATAACATAGTAGGTGCGATCTGGATCCCCGCGTCACACTGGTGGTGGCTTGGGCGTAAAATGACGTTCACGGATCGCAAGAGTGTTTTCAAAATGATTAGGTCGTAATTTGTATTATCCTACCTCCATAATTCATTGTTAGATTCCGGTGATATCGGCAGTTTCCAGGCATTGCAGTTGTAACCAGTGA